GTGTGGGGCTTCTTCTCCAAGAAGCCGCCAGCGCTGCCCTGCCGAGCTTGAGCTTCCGGCAGGCTGGGCGGGGCTAAGGGCTGGGGCTGTGGAGGCGAACCTGAGAACAAGGGGTGTCACCTGTCCCCAGAGGGCCACCTGGTCAAAGGCCGATTCCTTGGAGCTCTCTTCTCCTTACCCACTTTATTTGTTTCCTGGGGCTGCTGTGACAAATTACCACACGTCTGGGGGCTTAAAGCAACAGAAATTTATTCTCTCTCAGTTTGGGAGGCCAGAGTCTAAAATCAAGATGTCCTCAGGGTAGGTTTCTTCTGAGGGAGAATTTTGAGGGCGAATCTGTGCATCCCCTCTTCCAGCTTCCGGTGTTGCTGGCGATACTGTGCGCTCCTTACCTCCCGGCTGCATCACTCCAGCCTCCGTCTCCATCGTCACGTGGCCTTCTTTGCTGTGTTTCTGTGTCCTCTCCTCTTCTGATGAGGACACCAGTCATAGATTTAGGGCCCGCCCTAAATCCAAGATGATTTCATCTCGAGATCCTTAACTAATTACATCTGCAAAGACCCGTTTCCAAATAAGGTCGCATTCTGGGGTTCTGGGTAGACATGGATTTTGGAGGGAAACTACTCAGCCCACTACACCCACCAAGAAGTCCGAGGTCACAGATGTCCCTCCAGGTGGAGGTTCTGAAGGTGATGCCCCTGCAGAAGTAGAGCCAGGGCCAGGTTCAAGGCCCCGACCGGCACTGGAGGCTACTTAGTGGGTGTCAAGTGCTCCCTGGAAGTTGCAGCAGCTGCCATCCACAGGGCCACCACCCTGGCCAAGTTTCCAATGTCCCAGGGCAAAGGGCCACCAGGAACAAGGCCAGCAAGGCCCCACTGGCCCTGCTCCCAGCTCTGTGGGCATGCCTGGTCCCGCTGCCCAAGAAACTGCTGCTGGCGGTGGGCATGGAGGCTGCGACACCCCGGGCAGGGGATGCACGGCCACCCTCAACGAGCTGTCAAGCTGCAGCTTCCTCGCTCTGGGGCCACCATGCCGCACTTATATGTCAGAAAAACATGAGGGAGTTAAACTTGAAAAAGAAAAAAAATTGGACAAGTGGCAGGCAGGGGAAGCCTGTGGCTCCCTCCAGGGGACGCTGCAGTCCCCTAGGCTCTGTTTCTGCTAAGGGAGCTGCGGCAGCCACGGGAGGAGTGAGCACGAGATTTGAACTCTGAACACTCCCGGGCACGAAGGTATGAGAATGCTGTTGTTGATTTAAGAGCATATGAGATACAATATGGTTCAGGCTGGGACAAATCAGAAAAGATATAAAAATACCTTGTCTGCCTCAAGGAGAGACAGGAAACAAAACTGGATGGTGTTCCTGTTGCCTCACAAAGGGTCCTGAAATGCCCCAAGCACGCTCCACTGGGGCACAGCTCATGTTCAATGACACAGTGGACACCCTGTGGGTGCCTGAGTGCTGAGCAGCCCCAGGCCCCGGGCCCCGGGCCCAGAGGTGAGCTGGCCAGGGCCCCCCCCAGCAGACCCTTGCCTGCCTCCTGGACCACAGGAGGCCGATGCTCGCTGGGGGGAGACCAAGGGCCATAGGTGGCTGCGGGAATCACCACCCCTGGCTAGTTGCAAGGGACAGCAGAGGTGGAAATGGGACCTGGAAAGAGGGTGGGATTTGCCAGTCTCGAGGGGAGGATGGATGACCCAGGCACAGAGAAGTCAGGTAAGTTCGGGCTGGTGGACACAGCATGGATGCAGGGCCTCCTGGATCTGTGTAGTGCACTGAAGAACCACCGTGTGTTGTGGGGGAAATGGCCACAAGTCAGAATAGCCCTGCTGGCCGGAGGGTGGAGCCAGACTGGATGGGAGGCGGCTGCAGGCCCAGACGGTGGGGGCTCCAGCAGGGGGGCAGGTGGGAGGCCGAGGGGAGGAACAGAGACTGACCCAGGAGGCAGTCACCGGGTCAGGGACTCCTGGGGTGGGGAGGGGAGACATATAGGAAAACAGCTTCATTCCCAGCTTGAGCACCCACCAAGGAATACTGGGGGAGCATGCAAATGACGAGCTTTCTCTGGGAAAAATCAAACAACTTGAACAAAAAAGAATCATTGTGAAAATGACCAGATAGTCCAACCCTCAGATTTTGGGAATGTCCCCATCAAAAGGAAAAAAAAAATAATTGGAGCTGATAAGAAAGCAGAAATTGTCATCCTGGATGATTCCAAACAGGGACTGGTGCCGGAGCCCTGGGCCCAGGAGTGAAGAGTCTGTTTACAAGCCCACGATTGTCCAAGGGCCGCTTCGGACACCGCACACTTCCTACCCACGTGTGTTCTGGAAGGGTTCGGAGGAAACATCTGGCCCCCGAACATGACGTCACTAACGTAATAGTCCAGATTTGACATAATCTATTTAGCAGACACTCGCTCCACCTAGCAAGCCCGTCATAGCACACTAACTCCGCACCTCCAGGACAACTGAGTCACCCTCCACGCTCTGACGGGGTCACCGCTCCCAGCCGGGGACTCCACCCTCCCACCAGACGTTCTGAACAACAACAAAATCGCGTAACTGCGAAGCCGGGTTGTAAGAACTGTTAGCGGAACAGCTGTGCGCAGAAGCCGCAGGTGGAGGCCACCGCCACGTGGGTTACGCCCTCCTGGGTAAGACGCCACAATCAGAGCTGTACCAAGACGGAGGCGGGGCAGGCAGGGGCCGTAGACAGTGACACTTGTTATTTCTGAGGCAAATATAACCAATTTCCTTTTCACACACTAGGAAACAAAGGTCCAAATTGCCCACCGACAGCCCTGGGCAGACTAATAAATGGCAGAGCCAGGCCTCCAGCCCACGTCTGACTCAGAGACGCAAAGCCACAGCCGCCATCAACAGCATTAAACCCACCCATCAAGGAAGGCGCAAATGCACACTCAAATCAGATCGCTAAGGTGCAGCAATTTCAGGCTTAAAGGGAACGCACGATATGGCATGTAAACTTGACCCTCGTTCACGCACAGCTACACCAAAGACCTCTGCCTACTTTCTAGGTCCTCAGCGCAATACTGTGCAAACAAAATCCTGTTACTTATATCAGAACGAAAAAGAGGCGTGCAGTTTGACAGATAAATTCAAGACAGCGTAGGAAGCATCAGTAAACAGGTGTCAAAGGTGAACATCAGTAAAAGGCTCTTACTACGAGCAACACCCCGTCTCAGGGGTTATTCAGGTACATCAGTCATCTGACGAACCAACCTGGTTTCCCCATGTTTTTCGTAAGTCACCAGTAACCAGGGTGGCTTCAAGTAAACACACCACATCAAGAGCTCGTCCCCGCTGACGGCTGCCAGCAGCTTACCTCTGCGTCTGCGGCCACCCAGGTGCTGACGTCACGTAAGCCACGCGGTGGGAACTGTCTGGGCTCATCTGGCAGACAGACTCACCTACAAAACCGAGGAGACAGAGACCGTCTCTCTCTACAGCACCTAGACAAAGGCCTCTGCAAAGATAAATACCGAGGACCCTGCAAGATGCCCGCTTTCCTCAAAATCATAGTCAAAAGGAATGAAACCAAAATCGCGGTCAGATCAAATGTCTTGCTTTCTCACAACAGCATGATTCTGTAAGATATTCGGGTTTTGGTTTTGGTTTTGATTTGGTGCAAAATTTAAAAAATGTGAATACCTTACCTTAAACTAAATCACACACTGAAGCTATCACTTTCTGTCAAGAGGGCTAGCTTTATAATTTTCTTTTTTGGTGAGGAAGATTGGTCCTGAGCTAACATCTGTTGCCAATCTTCCTCTTTTTGCTTGAGGAAGAATGTCCCTGAGCAAACATCTGTGCCAATCTTCCTCTATTTTTTTTTCTTTGTATGTGGGACGCCACCACAGCACGGCTTGATGAGTGGTGTGTAGGTCCATGTCCAGGATCTGAACCCCTGAACCCCGGGCTACTGAAGCAGAGCATGCAAACCTAACCACTGCACCACCAGGCTGGTCCCGAGAGCTAGTTTATACATCAGTGGAATCAGTTCTTTCAGCTCTAATGAAATAGATGGTGATATTGTGATTTATAATAGGATATATGCAGTCTTCAGCCCTGTTTCTGGTTCCTAAAACCCTTGTAATTTCCTTGCTAGGAGCTACAGGAACATCTTTTTGCTATAATACTTAGTTTTGTTCTCAGGTCCTGAAATATCTCCAGAGCATTAAGGTGAAATGGATGTCTTTTGTTACTCATAACAACCCCCTTTCAACCCGCCAGTTTGTGCTAAAGAATGACAGGTGTGGCTGGAGCTCCAGGATAGCTGGGATGGGGGCTGGTTCCCAGGGGAACCAACCATGTGATGAGAGGGCTGGGACCCTCAGCCCCACCTCCAACCTCCAGGGAGGGGAGACGGGCTGGAGGCCGACTCAGTCACCAATGGCCAATGATTTCATCGATCACACCTGTGTGACGGTGCCTCCACAGAGATCCCCCATCCAGGGAATTCAGAGAGGAATTCAGGTTGCTGACCTGTGGAGGTGCTGGGAGGCTGGTGCAGCCAGAGCAGGCATGGGAAGCCCTGTGGCCCTTACCCCACATCCTGCCCTGTGCATCTCTTCCGTCTGGCTGTTCCCGGGTTACATCCTTTTATAATAAACTGGTCATCTGGAAGTAAAACATCTCTCTGAGTTCTGTGAGCCACTCCGGCAAATTAATCGAACCCGAGGAAGGAGGGAGTCCAGGAGGGGACGTGGGAACCCCTGGGTCACAGCAGGTAGGTCAGAAGCACAGGGGACAAGCTGGACTTGTGATTGGCGTCTGAAGCGGTGGGAGTGGGGGCAGTCTCGCGGGACTGAGCCCTTAACCTGGGGCTCTGATGCCCTCTCCAGGAAGAGAGTCAGACTCGTAGGACACCAGCACCAGCTGGGGATCCCAGAATTGCTTGGAAACATCCCCAGTCTGGTCTCAGGAGTATCCTGAGTCTGTGAGTAAAGGAGAAATAGGCAGTTTGTTCCCAGGAATAGACTCCTTCACCTTCCAAAGAAGTCCTTTATTATTTACAGGGCTTAAAGGAAAAAGCTCTAGAAAAGGGAAATTTCAAAACAGGTCTGCAGCAAGGGCCCGGGTGCGTGAGAGGTTTCGGCAGGGGCCCAGGTGGAGTCTTCTGCTCTCGCTGGAGGTCACTTCCAGGTTGTGAGGACGGTTCTTCCCGAGTCTCTCGATCGGCCCCCTTTGGGTCCTAGCGACTGGCCCGGACGACTTCTCAGCTCTCGGTCAGCCCCGTCACCCTGCGCCAGCTCTTCGTCGTACCTAGAAACAGAGCAACGTCCCCAGGATTCTGCAGCAGCAGTGCCAAGCACGGCCACTGGGCTGCGGCGTGACAAACCCCACGTCACCCAGAGAAGCAGCCTGGCCCCCACTCTACACGCCTCCAGCCTGCCTGTCCACCACGTGGCCTTGGCAGCCCACCAAACACCACCCCAGGCCACAGAGCATATGAGTACAACCTTGTTACATTGTTATGTGGACAGTCCCCAGGCCCTGGAGTTGACATTTTATGCAAGCCACCAGATGGAATATGGCTAAGACCCCAAAGGAAACACGAATGAGACACCAGGCTGTTGAGGGAGAGGACTGATGTCTGGAAATACTAACACAGCATCTGCGGGCAGGTATGACTAAGCCTATTTCAGACAGGGAGTGGGGCCTGAGTGACCTGCCCAGGAGGGGGCCAGGCCCGGGGAGGCGAAGCAGCTCACTCACAAGGCAGGCCTGTGCCAGCCTCCAGCAGCCGTGACCACCTGCCCCTCCCACTGACCTATGCATCAGGCCTGTGTGGAAAGAGCCTGGGCTTCTGCATCGGCAAGAACTGGGCTGGAACCTCGGCGCCCTGACGGGTTGGTTATGGCATCTGGGAACATCCTGGCCTTTCTCAAGGCAGTGGGGCCCCTCCTACAGGTCCCAAGAGGGTGGTGAAATGCCACACACCCTGTTGCAGGCCCTGGCACCATGCAGGCTCCAAACCCTCAGTGACTTCGCATCATCCTCCTGACTCAGAGCAGCGGGCATCACGACCAACCCCTTCTGATCTGAGCAAACTGGATCTCAGAGAGGTTTACTCAGTGTCCTAAGCTCACACAGCTGGCGGTGGCAGAGGAGGGATTAAAACCCAGGATTTGGGATTCCTAATCCAGAACTCTGCGCGCTGCAGATGGGAGGAGTGTGAAAAGTGTGTCCGTTCCTACTGAAGCGCGTTCAGAGGTGTCACTTGCTGGCCACGCGCCAACTGAGGACCCTCCTCACACTGACATTTATATCAGACGCAATGGGCACTAAGATGCTCAGTCACGTTGCATCAGCTGAACTTTGCCGACTTCTGGGAAAGGGTGTCTGTTTCTGTTACAGGCTCATTCCCAGAATCGGAATCTGCGGGTTGAGTGTGGCGTGGGTTAGAAACTTCGGAGGCTGAAGAACATATTCTCTGCCTTGTGCTTCTGGTGGCAGACAGGGGACTGGAAGGCAAGGGGAGGGAGGCGCCGGCCGGCTGGCTGTCACCATGTGGCAGACACTACAGGGCTTCCCTCCACGAGAGGAGGGGGGCGGGGATGGGGGGAAGGAGGAGGAGGGCATGTTAAGGCGACAACACATCTCCCTAAGGAGATGCGACGCCGGACGGAGGACTCCTCAGGGACACTGCAGGTTCTGCCTGTGGGGGGTCCTCCCAGGAAGCCCCCCATCCCCTCCCCTCCTCCAGGGACTGCCAGAGCCCCCGGACTCCCCATGCACATGTCATCACTCCACTGCCTGTCGCGTGTCTGCATCGCTGACGGAAGGGCTGGGGCAACTCCCCCCTCAGGTTCACAGCTGCTGCCAGCACCTCGCTTGGGGGGTGGCTGTGGCTAAGAATCTGCTGAATGAGTGGAGGGAAGAACCACATACAGGTTGACTGAGCATTCGTGCTGGTCTGTGCAGCTTAAAAACACAACAGACAGAAATGAGCATTTGGCAAGCGGGTGGCATTGGGATGGGCTGTTCCCAGGGACGGTCTGGCCACTGATGGAGCTAACGTGGAGGTGAACCAGAGACAGGACAGCTCTTCTCAGGGCCCTTCGGAGTCCAGCAGGCTTTTCTCCCGGGATCTGACAGGCAGAATCCACGGCCGTCAGGGTTCGGAACAGGACTCTTTGGAAGGCTGTACACGTACAGCCAGCACCTTCAGAGCTGGGCCCTGGGGGGCAGGCACAGAGAGCTAGGCCTGTGGGTCCGAGGCCAGCTCGGGCAGCAGCAAGAGCACCTATATCTGGGGGCCAGTGCCAGCAGCGTGATCTTGGGCAAGTTAACTCGCACCCTGGCTTCCTGCCGTGCACCGAGGGGCTGCGGTGGGCGCTCAGCAGCACACGGAGTGTCCAGCACGCAGGGGGACAGGGCAGCGCGCCACGACCCACTGCTGCCAGAGGCCACAGCTGGAAGTCAAAACGGGCCTCCTGACTGTGAGGTAACTGGAAGCACTGGGGGAGCGAGGGTTTTTTTTTTAAGATTGGCACCTGAGCTAACATCTGTTGCCAATGTTTTTTTTACTTCTTCTCCCCAAAGCCCCCCAGTACACAGTTGTATATTCTGGTTGTAGATCCTTCTGGCTCTGCTATGCGGGATGCCACCTCAGCACGGCTGACGAGCAGTGCCATGTCTGCGCCCAGGATCCGAACCGGCCAAACCCTGGGCCGCCAAAGCGTAGCGCGCGAACCTAACCCCTCGGCCACGAGCCGGCCCCCCAGGAGCAAGTTTTAAAAGGAAGCACTCAGCAACTCTCAGCTCGGCACTGGAGCCCTCCTCACTTACAGGAGTGGGGAGAGGGTGGCCGAGTGGATTTGGGGCATGGGGGTCACCTTTGTGTTCTTCAACTGAACGTTGTGAGGCTTCTGACCTCTGCATCTTGAACTGGAAATGGAGTGTCTGCCCCGTTCCCTCAAGGAGGCCCTGGCTGACGGGCAAAGGGCCCCACGCAGGCCTAGCAGTCCAGCCTCCCTGCCACCCTGGCTGGATGAAGAGCCCCCCGGGACACTCATGCTCCTGGCAGGACTCCCTCTCCGCAGAGCCCCCCAGCCCTCCTCCACACACACAGCCCATCCATATGATGGGCCATCAGGACTGAGCCCATGAGGTCCTTCATCACAGGTGACATCCGTCACCCTCATGTCACCCTGCACCTCCCATACTGCCAACCCCGAGAGGCTCTGGACATGCCCCCATCTGACCCTGCCCCCAGACTTCCTCTGCACACTCGGAACTCTCCGTCCACTGTCAGCACTGCCCACGTCCCCCACATCGTCACCCTCCTGCTCTGAAACCCGTCTCTCCCTGAAGACGCTGCTTCCCCTGCAGCCCCTCGAGTGGGCTGTTTTCTCTCCACCCATCATGCCCCTAGGCCTGGAGGGGCCTCTCTCCAAAACCTCTCAGCTTTTGCCCAGCCCAGGTCAGCAGAATCCACCACGCTTACCCTGCCTTGTAGGCCACCTCTAATCCTCAGGTCACTGCCCCTAATTCCTTAAGACTCAGGCTCCTGGCTCACTGTTGCCAGTAACAGCGATGACCAAACAGACGAGACCCCCAATTCCCTGACCTATTGCCCTATATGCCCCAATGACCTTGGCCTCCACCCCAGCTCAGCCCCATTCCCACAGCACCTGGCTGTGTCATGTTCAGGGACCGCACCCCTGTGTCGCCTCGAGCGCAAACCTCACTCTGGCCTCTGCCCTTCTCTTCCCCGCTCGTTCCCTAGTACCCGACCCCAACAACCCTCGCCGGCTGGGACCTGCAGTCGCCTCTGCCCTCTCTCTCCCTCCCCGCCCTTCTCTCTTGCCTTCCTCCCTGCCTGGCAGCCCCCAGCCCCGGTCACTTCCACCCCTCTGCCTACTCTGTGCCCAGCCCGCGCAGCTGGACGTGGCTGGAGAAAACAATCAACCATGCTGGCTGGTGGCACTTGAAGTTCACAGCCAAGGCCCTTGGAGGCCCCAAGTGCTGCATGGAGGCGGTGCACGCTTCCCTTGGGAATTCACCTCCCACCCTCCCCGTGCATCAACACCGCACACAGCAGAGGCGGGTGAGGAGGCCAAGTGTGGGCTCTGAAGCTCCAGTCCCCAGGCCAGCAGCACCTACAGCTGTGAGCCTGGGATCTGTGTGTGCGAAGTTCACTACTCTGCCCTTTGTTTTTTTAAACTGTTAAGTGAAACGCACATCTTTACTTTTACAGAAGCAGGCAGTGTGGGTGAAGAGAAGTCATGTACCTCTCCTGCTGCGCCTTCGCCTGGGCCTGGCACGGAGAGAGTGCTTCCTAACATTTACATTAACATAGCAGAAGACGAGACAAAGGCCTGGTTTAGCGCCCAAACGCTTTCCTGCTGCAACACAATCTGTCCCATAACATCATGAATAAATGAAATACTCTGCTCAAATAAGGAGAGTCCGCATACAGCCAGAAAAATCCACGTTGGGCCTTGGTACCCCCAATCTGAAACACACAAGGACAACAGCACAGCCACACACACACTTACAGAATTTCATAATTGCCAAGAACTTCCTTTGGGGGTGACTTGTTCCATTTACAGTCTGGAATTTCGCCATTGGGGACCGCAATATTGAGGGTGTCGTTAATCAGGTTGTACTTGAGGATCCGATCGTTGGCGGTGCTGGAGGTGAGGGATGGGGACGCATTAACCTATGAGAGGAAAGACACCACATCCTTCACTTGGGACACGTATTCCGTTGGAGGGAAAACATGCACTGCGGGAGAAAATGCTGCCTCCCACGTACTCTGGGTGGAGCTGTCAATTCAAACTGTTCGTTAATATTTAATACCTTCAGCAAGCATTGTGTGATCTACATTTACGAGCTCTTAGAGGAAATATAAACAATATTTAAAGACAGGATTAGGATTAGGATCTCCAATCAGTCATCACACAAACAATAATCCCAGGTCAACGTACATCACAAACATAATTTCAGTGTCCACCTGGGTGAGCAGCTCTGTCCTAAGGACCACAAGCTGCCCAGAGCTTTGCTGGAATCAGGGAACCAAATGCCCCTGACCTGGCAGCACCGTGGGGCTGAAGGAAAAGGTAATGGGCCCCTTTTTGGCCAAGACAGTAATACCTCACCAAGAAAGCAATATTCTGACCCAAATGAGGAACCCATCCAATAAGTGGGAAGTTAGTCTCCTAAGGCCCCAGAGGAGCTGAGTGATGTCACCCAAATCCACATGTTAAAACGTAGACATGTACCCCGTGGAGAGCCCCGCAGGCCCCAGGGCAGCTCCTGTTTTCTCTGTTTCGGGCACCGGTGACGGACTGTGCTGAGCCGTTCTCTAGGCCGTGGGAGAGCAGGCAGCCAGTGTGCACGCCGCCCAGCTTTCTCCCAAACAGCCAGGCTGTATGCTGCCAGCAGGGTCTCTAATGTGAACAGTGACAGGGCTGTGTGGACCTCAGGTGCCCTTGAAATTACCAGTGCAGTATATCATGACACCGAAATTCCTATCACGAATCTGCTAAAATAAGATCTGTTACGACGTGAGAACCATTGCTCACAATTAAGGCCCTAGCTCACCAAGGAAAGCTTGGCTTCCATTCAAATCACTCTCTTTAAGATGGAAGAAAAGAAAACAAGAATCTTCTATAGCCATCTGTGGGTCGCCCTCTATATGTGTACCTGCCTACGCCCTGCACCCACACCTCCGGCAGGACGACACGTCAGTAACCTGGAAAACACTGTGACAGAGCACAGCTCGCTCTCTGACAAGCTGGCTCCCCAGAGTTTCCTGAAGGGGTTCCCAGTGACCTTCTGTACAAGGGACCTCTCACTACGAGCTGCTCTTGAGACCCAGCTTTCCCTTCTTGAACTGGGACCAAGCTAAAGAGCCCGAGCCGTGCACCTCTGCGTGAGCGTGGTCAGAAGACGGTGCTCAGAGGCACACGCAGGGAGGCGAACCGGCCAAACCGGCCTTCATCCCCACAGCCAGCCCGACCCTGTGGCCCCACAGAGCCTGAGTTCTCCTCCTGGCTGCAGAGCAAGGCAGCGTGACCCCTACGGGGGGCTCCGCGGCCGGGCCTCAGACGGGTGTGGCGGCGCCCACTGTCACTGAGGCAGTGTCATGTGGCTTGTCGCCAGGAAAGGACACCTGGCTGTTTCTAGAACAGCCACCACTACATTCCATCTATGCCTTGAAACAGGTAGATGAATCCACTTCCAAACTCTACCTTCATCCAAAGAAGATAACGTCCCTTATCTCTGGACAGTGTGCCACCGCTTCCCAAGGGGTTCTGGGTCTGTGAGCCCCTTTCCTGAGTGGGAACAATATCCCCCAGGAGAGCAGGGCAGGGGCTCTGGGGCACAGACTCGCCGGAAGCACCCTGGAGCCCCGGGGCATCCTCTGTGGGAGAGGGAGACGGCTCCTGCTCTGGGGGCTGGGCTCACCAGAGGTGAGAGCCGGGGAGGGTGCTCATTTTTGAACCATCAGCCAACTGTTAAACCTGAACGTCTGTCTGGGTCACATTTCAGAAACTCCTCTGCCCCAGCCCTGCCGCCCGGCCAGAGGACAGGGGGCCTGCGGAGCGGCAGCAGGGCGGGGCAGCAGGAGGGCGGTGGGGACGTTACCTCAATCAGCCAGGGCTTCAGCTTGTCGTCTATGATGATGTCGTAGCCGTAGCACTCGAAGCAGTGCTTGTCGTTGTTCATCACCGGCTGCGGAGAGAGGGACCCGCGGTCATGCAGCCCAGCCGAGACCAATGTCTCTGACACACAGGATGTTATAGCAGCGGGACCCCCTCACGGTTGGGACAGGCTGCATCTCGCTTTTAGGACCAGTGGCTGCCAACCTCCAGCCCAACACTTCCTCCCTTCCTTCCTCTGTGCCTCTTCCAGGGCTCAGGGGAAGCTCCTCGGTCCTGGAAAGGGCACTGATGAAGCGCCACTGGGTCTCCAGCCCTCATGCATCAGGGGCTGGATGACCAGCCGTGAATGTCTTCATCAGCACGGGACTGTCCTCGGGTGGACAGAGTCCAGCCCCCAGCCTGGGACCTGGAGGTGAGGGGCTGTGCAGCCTCATCATAAATGCACACCCGTCCGCCAGGCTGCTGGTCCCTTCTCAGGCCCTTGGCACGTGGGCTGCCAGATTATGAACCTCTGTTCTCTGTGACAGAGTCAATCCCTTTACATAAAATTTTTGTATTTTCTTTTAAATTTTCAATTCCATTTCATAAACTGTTCTCTAAGTGCATAAACCCACCAGCCACTTGCTTACAATGCAGATTCCCGGGCCTACCCAGGCTGCCTGATTAAAACCTGCGGGAGAGGCCCAGCAAGCAGCAGTTCCAATGCTCCCAGGATTCTTGTGCACCCCACAGTGAGGGACGACACAGACACGACAGTGAGGCGTTCTTATGTGCCAGCGGCATGCGGACTCTACTTAAAACACTGGATGTAGAGCTGGAAACTCCTAAGGGGAGCTGGCCCAGTCCAGCCCTCTCACTCCCTGAGGGGGGAAACCAGACCGGGGTTGGGGCGCTGTTTCATCACGTGGTTTATGGAATCGCACTCTCACTAAAAGCCTGGTGTCCCAACCCCAGCCAGCGCACACATGACACTCTCCCAGGAAGCCTCTGCTGCTCAGGAGGTCGCTAACCATTCTGTCACCCCAAACTCCACCGGCCCCAGCCCTCTGGCTCCCTGCTCCCCCATCCTGCCCCGTGTTCTGGGCCCGGGCCCTCCCACGTGGAGCACCCTCCCGTCCCGCTCCAGCCCACCCCACGCGTGGCTGCAGGCACCTGCTCCCCTGCCCGCCTCTCCCCTAGATTCTCGGAAGGCCTGGTAGAAACAGGGTGCCTGAATATTTGCTAAGTGAATAAAAACTAAATAAATAAATTTCTGCTCCCAATACCCTCGGAGCCCTAGAAATCCAGCAGCTTCTCAGCCCCGGAGGCTGAGGTCCAGGAGGAGACAGATGTTCAGAGGCACCTGCCAGAGGACCCAGCCGTGCGACAGGCGAGAGCTGGGGCCAGAACACAGCTTTTCTTGATTAAATAGCCGAAGATTTCTCAAAGCTCTGCCAACACAGGGCAAACTAAAGCGGGCCAGGAAGGGGGGAAGAGCTGGGTCGACCAGGCACGAAGATGCCCAGGATCACGTGTCGACAGACGCCGGCATTTACCTCTCCCACCTTCAGCTAACCTCTGCACAGCGTGTTCACACAACCACCCTGTGACACGGGCATCAAGATCCCCAAGCCACAGAGGAGGCCGCTGAGAAGCCGAGAGTAGAGGCTCTGGTGCAAAGTCGCCAGTCGGCACATGGCGAGGCCCAGCTTGAAATCTCACCTGAGCCCAGAACGCCTTGCTCACTCCCCACCGAGACCCCCACAAGCCATCGAGGCACAGGTGGCCTCTGTGGGGTCAGACACATGAAATGCAGCCCCTAAGCCGTATGTCCAGTTAACTGGATTAACTAGATCCTGGGGTTTTTCCCTTCAAATCCTCCCTGGGAACGAAAGCATGCAGAGCTGACGGGGCACTCTGTGAAAGGGGAAGAGCCTCAACTCGAGACACAGGAAAGTCAAGACGCCGCCAGAAGTGGCACCTCCCTCTGTCTGTAATTTTCTTTACACAGCTGATTCCACAAAGCTTTCCACACACATACGGGGGAATCAGTTTAAGTGGGCGTTTCCAAAGGTGGAACTGGGAGGAGGGCCTTTAGCTGCCACTGAGAGGGTTTCATGTAAATATTTTCACTTGCATCTCCACGCCGCCAAACCCACATCACACTTACTCCTGAGCAACAATATCACACATTTCTGACTCTGTGGAGTGAAGCTTTTGTCACGGCCCTCAGCTCCGAGTGTGGGGGACACCCATGGCAGTCCGGCCTTGGTTTTTTGTTTCGCCTTGGTGGTGATTCTTTAAGTTTTTGAAGTTTGAGAAAGCACCTTTGTTAAAAGAATGGGAAGCACCCCCCCCCCACACACACACACACACATACTCCACGGGGACGTGTCACTGACTGTCTGGGCCCAGGCCATGTGTCCTCAGGTCCTGCCCGGGGGCTGTCTGTTAGGAGCCCCCTCAGCAGGCCTGGGCCCGACGCCTGCCCCTCCACGTCCTCTCCCCAGGGCCTGAGCCTCCGTTTCGCTTGAGTCATTGGGTGGCGAACACTCAAGGAAGCACTGAGAAGGCGCCTGCACTCTGGTGCCCAAGGGCTGATGCCTTTCCTTTACCTCGAGAACAGATGCACACCTGCCTCGGAACAGTAAGACACACCAGACAAAACTACAGCCCGGCGACAGAGCTGAGACTAGGGCTAAAAGGAGGGGAGGACCTGTGCAGCCCCTACTGTCCACAGACAAGGGGGCAGCTGAGCGTCCATCTGCAAAACGGCAGCTCACGCCAAAACGTGCATCATCGAGTCAAGGGCACAGAAGAGCAGACGAGGACGTCAAGAGGGCTCTGCCTCTCCGCAGCGGGCCCAGCTCCCGGCGACCCTGGGCAGCACCTGGCTAGAAGCCGGGCCCTCTCTCCTGAAACTGCCTCGGCCTCTGGCAGACAAGGAGGAGGTGAGACCGTGAAAACAGGTATTTTTAGCAAAAGAGCAACAAGCACCCCCAACTCCCAAACACTCATCGGCTTTGTGCTTTCTGCTTCGCTCTCAGCTCCGGGCTCCTGGCCCTCTCCCCTCGTGCTGCTGGAACTCACCGCCACGGCCTTCAGCGACTGCACGATGATCCAGTGGATCTCGTCAAACAGCTTGCTGGTCACCTCCTTGCCACGGGTGCTCTCCAGGTAGAGCCGCAGGTTGTTCACTGTCCACTTGCCCCCATGGATGTGGTTGTAGTCCTCCTGGGAATGGAAAGGGGGCGGGGGCCCAGGCAATGCACCCTGAGGAATCCAGCCCTTGCCCTTCATGCTTGAACATTTCCCGCGTGCCTCTCCTGTGGGGCTGGCCCCCAGCAACAACGCAGACAGGCCCCTGCCCCAGGGAGGTTGGGCCTCCTACACGTACATGTTTTTCAAATACTCAGCTCTGTCGGATTCTCACAATTAATAATTCATACTCTGCAGCGCCTGCTGCGGAGCGCCACCCAGAGCTCCTTCAAGACCCAGGCACTCATTCTTCCAACTAAGACTCCTCAGGGAGCTGCCCTTGACTAAAGGGAGCCACCTGTTCCAAGGCTGCACCCTCCCCAGGCAGCCCACAGCCTGTGACAGGTTGATGTCAGGCTATCAGCCCCTGCCTCCATCTGATGGCTCTGCAGGGCCACCCAGCTCCAGAGGGCCCTGGTGTCGCCTGGGGCCTCTGCCATAGCTGCGTCCCCCTCCCCGTGTGCTCCTAGCATGGAGCCCCCATAAACCTGCACACTCATCTCTGCCTCCGAGTCTGCTTCCTAGAGAAGCCGAGCTGAGACCCTGTGCCAGGCACGTGACCCCCCTCATACCGTCCCAGCCTCGGGTCCACGTCCCAGCCTCAGGTAAGAAGATGTAGGCTCGGTGGCGGTGGGGGGGGGGGG